CCTATAATAGTGATCCCTGAGACAGTATTTCTGATGTGTACATTTACTGCAGAATTTGGGTTTTCAGGTATCATAGGCCTTTTAGCACGTAGTATTCCAGCCCTCAAATCTAGGCACTCTTCCTCTTTGACTGTTTTCCCTCCCCTCCACTATTTTTGTCAGTAGGATAATACATGAACTATCAAACAAGGTAGCATGAAGGTTGAATGAGTACTTCTGCCTGAAGTGGCTTGCTGAATTCAGCCATCCCATCTCCCCCTTTCCCCTGTTGGCTTACCTTTTTAAGCATGTCTCCCCTTCCCTTGAAAATATCTGAAGAGGGATGGGCAACTCCTATCATAGTGATCCCTGAGACAGTATTTCTGATGTGTAAATTTACTGCAGAATTTGGGTTTTCAGGTATCATAGGCCTTTTAGCACGTAGTATTCCAGCCCTCAAATCTAGGCACTCTTCCTCCCTGACTGTTTTCCCTCCCCTCCACTATTTTTGTCAATAGGATAATACATGAGCTACCAAACAAGGTAGCATGAAGTCATAACTCTTTCTCTCTCTCCTTTGCTCTCATTTTAGACATTTTGACGCTTGAATTGCAAGAAAAAGGAGAGGACGCAACTGTGACGATAGGCGTGCAGACAGATCCAGAAAAAGGAGAGGATGCAACTGTGACGATAGGCGTGCAGACAGATCCAGAAAAAGGTGAGGACGCAGCTGTGACAGTAGGCGTGCAGACAGATCCAGAAAAAGGAGAGGACAGTAGGCGTGCAGACAGATCAAAAGTCTTTATGTTGGCAGAAGGAACAGATTCTCCCAGATGGTGTTTCCACACTGGACCCTACAGGTATGTGAGGCTGTGAATTAATTTGCAAATGAAAGAATAAACTTGTTACTCATAAATAAGGGGGAGGAACTGGGGATGTACTGGACAGGTGCCTGAAAGCAGTAATGGGCTTGGATGAGAGATGATCAATAAATGGCATCTTCTTAACAGGGTGTTGCTTAACAGGGTGGCTTAGTGCATGTTTTGAGAGGGGTAGTACTCTGTCCTAAAGGATCATGTTCTCTTGCATTCCATGTGGCTTGGGCCAGAGCCTCCAGTTTACAGTAGCTCCAAGATACCAGCTACTTCCACCGGGCACCACCCAATGGTAGACTAGTGGTGGAGACAGGCCCTAACCTGTGATCCTATCTCTGTGTTTGCAGAAACGATGACGTTGGATCTGGACACAGCAGGCCCCTACCTCATCCTGTCTGACAATGGGAAAAGCGTGAAGTTGGGAGACACGCGCCAGAAACGTGCCACATCCCGGGACCGATTTAATGTGTACCCTTGCGTACTAGGCAGCAGAGGGTTTAGCTCTGGGAAACACTGCTGGGAGGTACAGGTGGTCGAAGGGGGATGTTGGGCTGTGGGCGTGGCCCGAGAGTCAGTGAAGAGGAGGAAAAAGCTCAACTTTCGGCCTGAGGAGGGAATCTGGGCTTTGGAGCACTTAGGATTCGATCATTACCGAGCTCTGACCTCCCCTCCAACTACTCTGCTCCTGGGCGAGACACACCAAAAGGTCCAGGTATGTCTGGACTATGAGGCAGGCCAGGTAGCGTTTTTTGATGCAGAGAAGAATACTTGGATCTATACCTTCTCGTCAGTTTCTTTTGGAGGGGAGATTATCTATCCCTGGCTGTGGGTGGGGCTGAGATCACAGCTCAGACTGTGTCCCTGAAGTTACACATACCTTCCAGAAGCAGACAGATTCAAATAGAGAGCCAGTTTGGTGTAGTGGTTAGAAGCGTGGACTCTGATCTGGGAGAACCAGGTTTGATTCCCTACTCCTCCATATGCAGCTGCTGGGTGACCTTGGGCAAGCCACAGTTCTCTCAGACCTGTTCGATCAAGATCAGTTTTCAAAGAGCTCTCTCAGCCCCACCTACCTCACAAGGTGTCTATTGTGGGGAGAAGAAGGGAAGGAGATTGTAAGCTGCTCTGAGACTCCAAGTGAAGGGCGGGGTATAAATCCAATCTCTTCTTCTTCTTCTTCTACCCTGAAGGAACTGGGTTAGCTCTACAGGCCACCTAAGAATCCACAGAGATCTTCAGTTTAGATTGAGAATAGGTATGAAGCTCAGTACATGGGAAGAATATACTGAGCCAACCCGCTGGCCTGTCTCTTAGTATTTGTCTGTTCTGACTGGCAGCACCTTCCCAATACAGAAAGGTATTCAGCACCTGCTACCTGAGGTAATTCAATTGGCAATACTGTTGGCCAAATGGGGCCTATTGCCTGGTGTGCCAATGCCCAATGATGAACATAGCCAGTGAGATTCCAGAAGCAGACAGAACTTTATTTGAATAGAGGGGAACCTTGGTAGCAAAACCCAAGGAATCTATTAGTAAGGCTTCAGCCATTAACTTTTTATACAGTGTAACAAACATGCACAGATATCTTCCTGTTACAAATTTTAGGTTTTGTTTCCTTCTATGTATGTAAGTTTGCCAAGCATATTTTTTTTTCTTTATTTGGAATTCTCTAGAAATAGTTCTATTTTTCTACAAGCCTTGCAAAGCCACAGAAATCTGTTGTCAGCAACCGTCCTGTTAAATCAGCTGTGTCCTGAGACATAACCTCTTACCCTCTTGTCCGCTTCACCACATTGGTTTTTCACCGCAGCTGAATTTAGCTTGTTTAAGCAACCTAAAGCAAGCAGAAGGTCAGAGACAGCAAGTATGGCGTTAGTCTTGCTAATTCGCCCATCAGTACCAAGGGTTGAACTTTCTGAATTCACTGCTACAACTGAGGCCAGCCCTTCTCTGTGGGAACGGTAAATAAGAATCTACCCAAAGTTGGATAAATGCATACTATGCCCAAAAGGGATTCCAGCTTTTTGAAAAAAACTTGATAAATACCTCTTATTTTGGGGAGACTGTAAGAGCCTCGACATTTACTGTGATGGCCTCCACTCCTTGGACCAATTTCACCCTTCGGTTTTCATGAGTTCCCTTCTTAAATTCAGGCTGTGTAAGGCTACTTGTCTCATATAGCTTTCTGTTGAAGCTTTCTTGACCATCCTTTGATTTATAGGCTGCAGCTGTCTCTTGACTGAAGCATATTTCAAACCAGGGGTGGCTTTCAACATTGGGGGCAGCTGTCCCAAGCTGGGGGATAGGGAGTGACAGACCACATCCTCACCCTTCCCCCAAACTGGGGGGGGGGGGAGAAGAGTAAGAGCAGGTTCCAGCTCCCACACCTAGCACCTGGGCTGTTCAGGGCTTGGGTTGCCTGCTCCAGCCAAGGCTGGGGCAGTATCTTCCACCTGCCTCATACAGAGCAGGGGCTTCTGTTTGCTTGGAACCTGGGGATGGGGTAACAGGGCGCCCCTGGCAGGGGATGTCAACAATTCTGGGATTCCCTCCTGAACTTTTGCCCAAGGCTCCAGAATCCTTAAGACTGCCCGTTTCAGAGGACCAATCAGCCACACTGGAATGTTTGCATTTTCTTGGATAATGACTTTCTGATTTATTAATCTGTAATAATCAGTCATGAAATTACTATTGTATTTTTATCATTTTTGTTGTAAGTCGCTTCATGCTAGAAGAAAGATATATTTTTAAAGTAAATAAATAAACACAGGTCCCCAATCTTATCCAGCTTTTGGGCAGTTTTGGAATTTTGAAAACAAATAGCGGGTGCCACAACAAAATGGCTGCTGTTGAGGGGGGACCAATCACAAAACATTAGGAAGTTCCAAGCCAAGCATTCTCTTGTGAAGGAAGCAGCTGCTTCCAAATTGGAGCGCCCTGCTGACAAAATATGCTTCTGGGCTCTTAAGCACCTTCTGCTTCCAGGGTTGCCAACTCTGGCTTGGAAAATTCCTGGAGATTTGTGGGCAGTACCTGAGGAGAGCACAGTAACCCTGCATGCTCGGGTGAAGTGAAGAGCGGCAGGATTGGCTTGATGCTTTGGGGAAGAAGCAAGTTGATGCCAGGAATCACACTGATGGGTGCTCTGGTGCTGAAACAAACCATACAAACCTTAGTTCAAGGGCTCCGAGGATGCAGCATTGTGCCAAAAACTGGCCAGACTTGGGACAGATTTGCACGGATGTTTTAATGCGCTTAGCCCATGCTCCAAACACCAAATAGACCATTATGCTGTTGATAAATCCAGAAACCGATGTAAAAAAAATTCTGAGGTACCTGGAGGTGAAATATCACACAGAGGCTCCCCCTAGTTCTTTGGCATTGTCGGCTCTATCAGCCTTTGGAGTTTTAAGCCCCAAGCCATGGACTGATGAAACAGGAATACAGCAGGGACTACCGTTTTGAACATAACACTTTTTGGTGTGGTACAATGAGGGAGGGGAAAACTGTAGAGATCTTTAAAATTTGTGAGCTGAGGAAGGAAAGTTGAAGAACGTTTAGCATCTGTGTAGGGCAAAGCACTTCACATATATTATCTCATTATAATCCTTACAGGTTGGTAAGTCAGGGCAGTATTTATTTGGGTCAGAGAGGTTTGATTGTTCAAATCTCTCCCCTGTGACAAACACCAGAGGTTGCCTTATTTTATTCATTTATACCCCACCTGTCTCCCTACCAGGAACCCAATGTGGCTGATATAATGCTGCTCTTCTCAATTTTATCCTCACAACCCTAGGGTTAGGGTGAGAGTGAGTGAAAGGCCCTAGGTCACCCAGTGGACTTTCATGGCAGAGTAGGGATTCAAACCTGGGTCTTCCAGATCCTAGTCTGGCGCCATAATCACTACAATGGGCTCTCAAGCCATTTCTTCTCATCCCCTATGGAGGTCAATGGGCCTACTGACAAGAAAGTATGCGGAGGGTTGTGTGGCCCAGGTAATTTAAGCCTGCCCACAGGTGCTGAGGCCCTTGCTTATGGTGGCCTAGTGAAATCATGGCAGGTTATCACCACAGTTCGTTCTTTTCACCTACCAGTTCCTGTGGGTTGGGAGAGATTTCTAAGTTTCTAAGACCAAATCTTTACAATACTTGGCCATAGATCCCCATGGTCAGCCATGTTGGTCTGAAGCAGTAGAACAAATTTAGAGTCCAGCAGCCCTTTAAGATCAACAAAGGTTTATTCAAGATATAAGCTTTCATGTGTAAAGTGTGAACATAAGAACATATGAGATGCCAATCTTGGATCAGGCCAAAGGCCCATCCAGTCCAACACTCTGTGTCACACAGTGGCCAGAAATACCAGGTGCCATCAGGAGGTCCACCAGTGGGGCCAGGACATTAGAAGCCCTCCCACTGTTGACCCCCCCAAGCACCAAGAAGACAGAGCATCACTTGTCCCAGAGCCCCTATCTATACCTTGTGGCTAATAGCCACTGATGGACCTCTGCTCCATATGCTTATCTACTTCCCTTTTGAAGCCGTCCATGCTTGTAGCCGCCACCACTTCCTGTGGCAGTGAATTCCATGTGTTAATCACTCTTTGGGTGAAGAAGTACTTCCTTTTATCCGTTCTAACCTGACCGCTCAGCAATTTCATGGAGTGCGCCACGAGTTCTTGTATTGTGAGAAAGGGAGAAAAGTACTTCTTTCTCTACCTGCTCTATCCCATGCATGATCTTATAAACCTCAATCATGTCACCCCTCAGTCATTGTTTCTCCAAGCTAAAGAGCCCTAAGCGCCTTAACCTTTCCTCATAGGGAAAGTGTTCCAACCCTTTTATCATTCGAGTTGCCCTTTTCTGCACTTCTGCACACAAAAGCCTCATACCTTGAATAAGCCTTCGTTGGTTTTAAAGGTGTCACTGGACTCTAAATTTGTTCTAATACATGGTCATGCTATGCAAAGCACTATATTTAAGAAGATAGAAATGGATGGGCACCT